TGTCATCGTCTTCAACCTCCCAAATATCCAAATTCAGCTTATGTACAGAAGCTTGCAAATTCAAGGGAGATGAATTTGAGCTTACTAGCTTAGTGTAATAATATTACTGGTTTTCCGATGGATGGTCGGCTTGGGTGTACGGATTTCGCGTGAAAAGTAATGGTTTCACCGCCTTAAGGTTTTTAACCCTCCCCCCAACCCCCCACTTTTCTTTCAGCTTTATATTCATTTCTCTTTTTTAAATTACCAAATAATATATAATACTACCCGGTATTGTCACTCCCGAGTAGTGGGCAAACATTTCTCGATGATAGTGAAAGATGAGAGAGAGGCTGGTGAGAGAGAATGAGAGATGAAAAAGAGAGACAGATTAGAGAAAGAGTAAAAGATGTAGAAATCAAAAAAATAAAGTGCATCGGGTAATAGGTGCTCTTTGTATTAGAAATGTAGAAAAAAAAAATTAAAAGCAAAAGAGCACCGGTTAACCGGTGCCCTTGTGAAGTTTTAAATTTTTGTGGGTTTAGGCTTGCGTTTTTTGCACCGAATTTTAATAATTGGTGCTAATTAGTTGGTGCACATTTATGTTTTTCTACTAGTGTTTCAAACATTTACAGAAAATCCTTTTCTCTTCCCTAGACAATGTGTAGCATGCATGAGGCATGAATGATTTCTTCCTGATATCGTTATCCTGGGGCCATACTTTAGTCGAATATTGGCTTCCTTCATGTCTCTACGCACAATAGCACCATTCTTTGTCTTCCCCTTAATATTCAATAATGTCCCAATCAATGAATCACAAACATTTTATCAATATGCATGACATCAAGGCAATGTCTAACTCTTAAGTGCTTCCGATAAGGAAGTTCCCAAAACTTAGACACTTTTTTCCATAGAACACCCTTCTTTGGTTTCTGTGTATGAAGCTTCCCATAGATTGTTTTGACATGTTTAATTCTTTCATAAATTTGGGTACCAGTCAATGGCTTACGACTCGCTCCTTTCTCAATATACCCGTTGAATTGTTTCTTCATTTTTCGATTTGGATGGTCTTGGCAAAGTGACCTTCTAGTATGCATATACACATTCTTACCCCAATGTTTCTACCTTGTAACTTGCATATTATCTCCACATATTGGGCATGCTTTCTCTCCTTTGTTTTTGTACCCCGACAAATTTCCGTACCCCGGAAAATCATTAATAGTAAAATCATGGCTCTTAGTCTGAAAATCGTACCGGTTGAGCATCGAATGTCACAACACCTTCATCCCACAATAGCTTTAAATCATCTATGAGGGGATCTAAATACACATCTATGTCATGACCAGGTTGTTTAGGCCTTGATGTTAAAAGCGACAACATAATGTACTTTTGCTTCTTGCACAACCACGAAGTTAAGTTGTATATCAACTAAAGAACCGACCATGTGCTATGTTGACTACTTAAAGTGCCATAAGGGTTCATCCTGTCTGTACTAGCCTCAGGTTCCTAGGCTCATTACCAAACTCTAGAAATGTCTCATCAATGTGTTTCCATTGCAACGAATCAGCCGGGTGTCTAATTAAATCATTTTTCTTCCTCTCATTGTTATGCCACACCAAGTTTTTAGCATCTTGCTTAATTGAAAACACACACTTAAACCTTGGTATTATTGGAAGATACCATACGACCTTAGCTGGCAGCCACTTCTTACGCTTCAAGTTTAAACCCTCGCGCTTGTATCGGGACTCACCGTACTTTAGGCAAGCATCTAAGTTTTCATTCTCCTTTCGAAAAAGCACACAATCATTAGGACATGCATAGATCTTGGTGTACTCCTAACCCAAGGGACACATCAATTTCTTCGTATAATAGGTGGACTTAGGAATATCATTTCCCTCGGGAAACATATCTGAAAAAGTTTCTAACAACAAAGTGAAACTCGTGTCGGCCTAACCGCTCTTTGCTTTCAAGTTGAATAATGTTAACACCCTGAAAGCTTGGAATATTTTGTAGAACCAGGATATGCAACTTTCGAAACCTCCTATATAGTACGAGAATTTTCATTCACGTGATCCTCCAACCCTTCCATCATATCATTAAATGTTATCTTCATCAACACTGTTTTCATGATCAAACCCATCATTATTAACAGAAGATGTACTACCCATAGGAATAAGTTTCTCACTATGCCAGTACCAATTGGTGTAGTTTGACATGAACCCATGAATAATCAGATATTCCTCTATTTTCTTAATGTCATCCCACCTCTTCACGTTCTTGCAATGACAACAAGGGCAAAGGATATAGATCTTTCCCTAGTAAGTCTTTGTTCAACAACAACACTCCACTGATGTTGCACTACAATTTTACAAAACTCCTTAACTACTTCCAAGTATGCAGGTGAAGTTCGAAGTGTGTCATACATCCATTCACGATTCATTTCTAAAACGTAATAACATGTTATATTCAACACCAAAAAAAAAGCAATTATGTCTAGCCAGACATGACATGATGAAACAATACTAACCAGAAGGAAGAACAAGAAAATATTAACCTAATACAACTAAATACCAGAACAGAAGCACAAACATGGATAACTTAAGAAGCTTCTTGGGTAGAATTCCATTATATTGCAAAGCATCTTTGCATGCTTCAGGGTTTTTGGCCAAAGAACTATACTAAGGCAAACGTGTATTGGCAACCAATGGATCACATTAAACAAGCACTGACTTTATTATACTGCACTAGTATTTTTGCTACCATTTTGCGTTTTTCCTAGTATAATATGTAAGGTCAAACCCACTACTCTATTCAGGCCTTTAAGCCTTTTTATTTCTTCTTATGTTGGACTAATAATTACTTCATTAGTTCTTAGATCTTAGAGGTTAAGCACAATAACTAGATAAGGACATAGTAATTTATGATTTATAAGTGATTGTATAACAAATTGCAATTAATTTACTTTTAAATTAGCTCTTTTTGGCAGTAGCATTGACATACTAAATTGTACCCTATATTTACAACATATTTTATCAATTGCATTCAAGATCAAGACCCAAACAATAACCCCAAATTTACAACCCAAACAACAAACATGCGATAATCAATACACGCAAAAAAATTACATGCATATACAATTCAAACCTCATATATATACTTCTGGCATTATTGCATCAGGTATATTAAACATATATTGATTTAATCTCAAAATTCGTTCAACGTACTTAATTTCACGAAATTGAAATAAAAAAAAACCTCAATTTGCATGTCAAAATAACCCCAAAAGAAATCACAAACCGTAATTAAAAGCGGGAAATTAAACATACCTTTGAGAGCGAAAGTGAGGTTGTCGAACCGCTGGTGATTGATGGCAGATGGAGTGGCCGACAGCAAAACGGCGGGCCGAAATAGCGCTGGTGGGTGGAATTTGGAGTAAAACTCAAAAAATTAGGTTTAACGAAAGGGGGAATTGGAGGTCGTATAGGAGAACAAGAAATAGCGCAGGTTGGTGGTGGCGGCAGGCGAAACTTCGATGGAGTGGAGTGGAGTGGTGGCAGGCGAAACTTTGATGGAGTGGAGTGGTGGACTGGTGGCTGATAGAAATTCGAAGTAGTTCAGGAGTTTTTATTTACTGGGGATTTCTAGTACTGTACGTGATAGAAGGGGAGACTAAGTTTTTGTTTATTTTAATTTTGAAACAATTTAGACTAAGTTTGTAATTTCACCTTACTCAAACAAAATAAAAAATGCAATAAAATTAGTATTTGTAACAGACTATGTATTGTTAGTTACAATTAAATATCCAAATAAAATAGACCTTTCTGAGAAAATAACAAAAATGAAGTTCACATGAACTTGGAACACAATAATTTGTAGCTCATCACATGAACAAATTTTGAACAATAATGTGTATAAAAGTACAATTATGTAAAATATTTTAATGGAAATATTTGCCTATAAATAAGTTCACTGTTTTGTGAAATAAAGAAGTAAGAAGAAGAAAAACAATCGGATTTCCTACTTGCTCTATTTACTCTCTTCTATCTCCATTTTCATAAAATATCCAATATCATTCTATAGTTAGAAAAACTTTCATTTTAAACACGTTATCAGCACGAATTCCTAATTACGTATATTTATACATATTTCTCAAAATTATAACAAATAAATACTATCTACTTCTAAATGTTTTGAGGAGTATGCTCTATAATTGCCCGTATTTTGGGATTTTCTATACCAGAAACTCAAACATTTACTGTATCAAAACAACGGTGGAGAAATTCTCTTATTTATGGATTCATTACTAATCTCCCTTGTTTGATTCATGTTGATGTTTGATTCATGCATGTTGATATTACATGTTCATCTTTAACATAAAATTTGATTTTAGTAGTACCCTTGCTCATTACCCCTCCCCCCCCCCCCCCCCCGATTTCACCACAAATCCCTTATCCTTTCCCATTTTTTTTATCCAAAAATCACCCTAAATTTTTCACCCCGTTCTTCTCCAATATGTTCCCCGACGACGGTAACCAAAACACCCACACCTTCACTTTTGAGGAAGATTTAAGGAAGGTAAAACAATATTTTTTTCTAATTATGGCGCTTGTAGTTCTGTTAGTAGCAATATTAATTTTTGTCATGATGTACAAGTGAAGTTTGTTATTTTGTCGTTTTAGTAGATTAAAAGCATGTTTTTGATTTATTATGTTGTTTTGCTGTTATTAATCATCATTGTATAATATTACCGTCATTATTATAATTATTGTTATTACTGTTGTTGTTGTCGTTTTGCTGTTTATGCGACTAATATGATTTATTTTTGCCTAATTATATAATTACTCACAATAATAAACGAAGGGGGAGAAAAGAACTATATTATTTATGGTTTATTATTGTTAAATAAATTTAATTATCACGTGTTTCATTAACAAACTATAAATATGGAAGAATTAAACATATGTGTTGTACATATGATTTATTATTATAAACTAATTATCACGTGATTTGTTGTAGTTAAAATGGGAGATCTTATGAAAAGACAATTCAGCATCCTAGATTTATCTGGAAAGAAATTTTTGGAATGGAAAGTGGATGCCATGATGAATTTGAAAGCTCAAGGGTTGGAACACACTATTAAAGATAATAAAAGTCCCTCTAGTCAAACAACAGATACTACCACTTCTGTAGTGACGGTTGTAAAACCTGTTATTGAACAAGAAAAGGCAAAAGCCTTAGTGTTACTAAGACATCATTTACATGAAGGCCTTAAAACTAAGTACATGATGGTTGAAGATCCCAAAGGATTATGGGATTGCCTTTTGAAAAATTTGGACACCACAAAAGGGTGCTCCTTCCTAAGGCATTATTTGACTAGACAAATTTACGGTTCCAGGATTTCAAATCTGTAATTGATTACAATTCAACCATACATGAGATAGTATCTATATTGAGATAATGTGATCATCCAGTCACTGATAAACAGATGATTGAAAAAACACTTACTACCTTTCATGCAAGCAACATACTGTTGCAAGAACAATATCGTGAAAGAGGTTTCAAAAGGTTTAATGAATTAATGAGTGTATTACTTGTTGCGGAACAAAATAGTGATCTTTTGTTGAAAAATCATAATCTTAGTCCAACTAGGTCTTTGGCCACTCATCATGAGGCAAATGCAACAAGTTCTTATCCACCCGAGGCAAATGCTACACGAAGAGGTGGACGTCGAAATTACAATGGCCGTGGAAATTATCGCGAACGAGGCCGACGACGTGGTAGAAATAATTTTCAAAGAAACAGTAATTTCAAAAATTCTGAAAAACAGAAGGGACAATCATCTGGAAGCCACAAACAAACTCCTTCAGAAGGAAAAGACACATGTTACAGATGTGGCATGACAGGACATTGGGGACGTACTTGTCGTACAGCCAAACATTTGGTAACCTTTACCAGGCTTCTGTAAAAGGCAAAGAGAAAAATGCAGAAGCCTACCCTTGATGTGTCCGATTTCTTCATGGACAATGTTGCAATTGGAAATGATTTCATATTTGGAGAAAATAACAATACTTAGATAACCCATCTACTAATGTAATATATACTATGTTTTAATGTATTTTCTGTTATGTACTGTATTTTAAATGTCTAGTCATGTATTTTTAATTTCTATCATCAATAAAAGTTTGTATGATATTATTCTAAACTAATCTCATATTTATTTTATGAAGATATGGATATGCCTGAAGTTGGTTCCTAATATCAGTGCCTTTTGGACAGTGGAACAACACACACTATCTTGAAGGATAGAAAATATTTTTCACAACTAAAGTTGTTTCAGGCAAATGTAAACACTATTTTTGGGTCAGCAAAATTAATTGAAGGATCTGGAAAGGCTTGTATAATGCTTTCAAATGGAACAAAATTGATAATCAATAATTCTTTATACTCGAGTAAATCTCGAAGAAATCTCATAAGCTTTAAAGATGTACGCTAAAATGACTATCATTTAGAAACAATGACAATAGATCAAAAGGAGTATTTATGCCTCACGGCAGGAAAATATGGCAAGAAACACATTTATGAGAAATTACTAGCATATTCTTTGGGGTTATATCATATAAACATACGACCCGTGGAAATCAATATGATATCTAACTAGAAGTTAGATGACAAACATTTGATTATTTTATGGCATGATCGTTTGGGACATCCAGCAACTGGGATGATGCAAAGAATAATAGCGAATTCAGTTGGACATTCAATAAGGAATATCAAAATTCCTCGATCTGATGAATTAACATGCTCTGCATGTTCACTCCGCAAATTGATAATAAGATCATCTATGAACAAAATTACTATTGAATCTCCAAAATTCTTGGAAAGAATTCAGGGAGATATTTGTGGGACAATTAATCCGGCATGTGGACCATTTCGATATTTCATGGTTTTAATTGATGCTTCTACACGATGGTCACATAGCAGAAAATGCCCCTGCACGTATTGAAATCCCAACTGATAATAAGGCCATTGAGAATGAATCTCAAGCACGCAGAAAGCGTGGGAGACCACTTGGTTCAAAAGATTCTAAACCAAGGAAATTGAAAAGATCGGATGGAATAGAAAATGAGACTAAAGATGTTCCCTCGTCAGAAGGTCAAGAAAGACCAAATGTGGATGAAAGTAAAGAAAATGATGATAATCCAAAAGGGGACGAACAAGAAAACAACCCTATAGGGAATGAACAAGATGTTCAAAACATCGATAACAATGGAATTTCAATGAATTACGTCTCTACCAAGACTCAGTGGAATAAGAAAGATGTTATCGTGGATGAAATATTTTCAAATTCCATCGCAATCGACATTATGTCTGATGAAAATGATGTTGAACCAAGTACAGTGGAAGAATGTCGACACAGGAGTGATTGGCCAAAGTGGAAAGAGACAATGCTGGCTGAGTTGAAGTCACTTGAAAAACGAGAAGTTTTCGGAAAAATAACGCTTACACCAGCAGGTGTAAAACCTGTTGGATACAAATGGGTGTTTGTGAGAAAACGTAATGAGAAAAATGAGATAGTTAGATACAAGGCAAGACTTGTAGCCCAAGGATTTTCTCAAATTCCACGGATTGATTATGAAGAAACATATTCTCCAGTAGTTGATGCAACTACATTAAGATTTTTGGTAAGTTTGACAGTCACAAAAGGACTGCAAATGCAATTAGTGGATGTAGTGACTGCGTATTTGTATGGTTCACTCACTACAGACATTTACATGAAAGTCCCAAAAGGACTAAAAGTACCATAAAACCACAAGCTTAGACAATTACTTTCCATAAAACTAAAAAGGTCACTTTATGGATTGAAACAATCTGGAAGGATGTGGTATAATCCACTAGACGAAAAAGGTAATTTGGCACCGGTTCAAACCCCCCCTAAGGCACCGGTTTTGAACCGTTGGGGATTTGAGGGATGCCAAATCCTCAAAAATTTAGCACCGGTTCAAAACCGGTGCCAACTAAAGGCTTTGAACCGGTGCCAACTTCAAACGCGCAAATTTTTTTTTTTTTATTATCAACACTATTGGCACCGGTTTTAGGCAAGAACCGGTGCGAAAAACTCCACTTTAGGCAATGGTTTTTGGCTAAAACCGGTGCCAATAGTCTCAAAAATTTTAAAAAAACTTTTGGCACCGATTCTGGTACAAACTGGTGCCAGAAATACCCAAAAAAAAAAAAATTTTTTGTATTTTTTTTCACTTAAATTGATATAGAAACATTAACATATATATAAACTTACATATTTTCATTAAAAAGGCTATAAAGCCTGTAATATTACAATTTTTGTCCAAAAAAAATTAAATAATCCAAACTTATCTCTGATCGACCTTTCTTGCATTACACTTAAAACAGGGACTGGGACAACACCTAACACAAAGCCAAAACTACGGAGAACAAAACAAAAAACAGCAGCCCAAAAAGACTTCCTGAAATGTGAGAAGTCCTACGTGGTGGAATGCACGAGCTATATTATACAAGGCTTCTTGAAATGACTTGGATTAGTACTACAGTCTCATATGAGTGACTTTAAGATTATGCACACAAAGTAAAAGACTTATTTATTAAATTGGTATTACAAACTTAGAAAAAACATTAATATTAGGCAATCAGATAATATTTATTAATGTAATAGACTTGTCAACTTTTCAAACTTCATCCCTGAACCAGTTTTCTTATTTAACAACACCAGCTTACCTGGCTATTTTCACAAAGTCGCAGATTGTTGTAAAGGAAAGCTAAGCCTTGTGCAACACACTAATGCTTGTTTTGAAGTCTATGTCCAAGGGCTAAATTGATTAAGGCAGTCCCAGCAAAGTAAGATGCATCAGTTAAATGGAGAATCAACACCAGCACACTCACATTAATCAGATTCGGATAAAATTACATAAAACATACCGACACAGAGATTGGTCAGTGGGGAATTTGGAATTTGTTTATGCGCTTCCAAGTATTCCCTTGCAGCTACTTGGTGTTGACTGATCATTGTAAACTGATTTTCAGAAATGATTATGGGTGGCACTAGATCCTTATGTTCAACTCGTATATGATGCAGAAACTTATTATGCTTTGAGAGACGATTCTCTAACCTAAAGCCAGATGAACAATAGTAAGAAATATTATAAGATAGTTTCAAGTTATAAGACATACCATAGCAAACCAGCAAGGACAGAAAAAACAAAAGCTCTGAGCAGGCACAGGAACAGTCAAACAACCCAAGCACACTGACTAGCTCAGCATCACAGTAGAACACAGCCTGCAGCAACACACAATAGACAAAACGGGTACACTCAGTTGGTACTTGGGTCTTGCACATCGACTATTGCTCGTCTTGTACTTTCAGCCACTGTTAAGGTTGGTCCACTAGTGATGAGTCTATTTTATATATATTTTTATTCCCCGTCCCACGGTCATATTTGTGCTTATTTGAGCTCTACAGAGCTATTTTTATTACTAATATACGTTTTCTAGTGTTTTGTAGAGTTGGTATTATTTTGTAGGAATTTGCAGAATTATGATAATTCCCGAGCTTATTGAGTCACTACAAAAATATTGGAGTTTGACCGTATTTTATGATCGTATATTTAATTGCCCAAGATCGAGTTAAAGGAAATTGGTTCAGTCATTAAGGGCTCAATTTGTGAAGAAATCCAAATTAATATTTTGGACCAAGTAATGAGCAAGCAAGTTAAGGATTTGAGCCCAAAACAAGAAGAAGCCTAATATCAAAAGGGATCAATTGCTGGGCGTAGGATTGCAGGCCCGGTCGGAAAGTTGCTAGACTGGTCAGGCGGACATCTTTAGTATTAGGCTTGCTGATTGCTTTTGGGCCTGCAATTTTATTGGGCTACTTCGCTCCAACTTCACGCAGCTGAGGATTGTGTTTTGCTTATTATTACGAGTTTTAATAGGCTTAGGGGTTTTGACTTTAGATAAAATTTCTTTTTTATATACCTATATAAAAGGGGAAGTAGTTACAAAGGAGGGAAGCAAGTTATTTTCTTAGTTTAGCTTTTTAGATTTTAGTTTAGGACTTTAGGTTTGTCAGACTTTTAGTTATTAATTATATTTATTGTTTTTACTTAGCTTTCATTGTTATTGTTTTCGTATTAGTTTTATGATTATTGTTTTTATTATGTCTTGCTTAATTATTTTGTTTAGCTTAGATTTAATTATGTGTGAGTAAATTTTATTCTAGGGTTTTGGGGATCTATGAATAATACGAAGGGGTAATTTATTATTGTTTGTTATTAATGATTGGTTAATTTCCTATTGATTGATTTAATGATATGCAATTAGATTTGGCCAGGTTTAATTGTATGAGTTATGCAATATTGATTCGAGATTCGACAAATGAGAATTGATGTTTAGGTTTAGTTTCAATAGGCATGTTAATCTATTAATAGTTAGGTCGAGCTTCGAGAGATGAGATTTAATACCAGTAGATTAATTATGTGATTATAATACGTAGCGACGGCCCTTTATAATCTGATTAATTTATGCATTGATAATTGATCGTATGATTTACCCTGGAGTATTATTTATTGGTGAACCTATACCCTAGAGCTTTTTATTATTGATTATTCCCTTTGTTTAATTTGCTTAGTTTTACTATTAGTTTGATTCATACAAATATAAATTGGTTACGTGATAATTTAGATTATAATTGTTGATTAGGAATAAAAGAACATTGTTTCCCTGTGGATTCGACCCTACTTCCCTATCTACTTTAGTTAGAGGACTTAGGAATTACTTTTGATTAGGTGATACGACTTAAGCCCGTCAACTAGGCGAAAAAGGAAAAAAGGAAAGGGTTAGGGTAGGGAAGAGAGTTGTTGATGAGCTTATAGGCAATAATTTGACAAGGGAAAAAGCTTATATGCTTGTGTTTTCTAGGCTTGTGTTTGCTAGAAGAGTGCTATAATTTCAAAATAAAGCTCTTTAGTGAGTGATGATCAATGAGCGAGAATCAAAGCTTCCTACCCCTTGCTGTCTTGCTTTAATACTTATATTATGATGTAGGCCATTATAACTAGCCTTATTTTAGATCAAAATCCATACTTTATCTTCACATTATTTTCAAATAACCTAAACAAACCGCCTACGCTTATTAGGATGTAATATTACAACTCACATATCAAAAATCATAATGTGTAGTGACTTCATTACATCCGCTGTGAAAAAATAGGTATATATGGTGTTGTTAGTCTATTATTCAATGCCAGCACTTTAGGGATAAAAGTGAAACCATTATTCTAATAGCTTTTTTTCCCCAAAATTTTTCTAATGCCAAGTAACCAGCTCATCAGAGAAATGAAAACTCTTCAGTTAACCTTGCACACTTTTAAAGGCACAAAACGAGAAGGTGAACAAACAAAATTTTAGGAGGGGTACCAGTTATGTTGCTATCCCTTGGTACATCAACCAAAAGGGCAGGACCTGTAATAAAAAACAAACAACAGCAATAAGTAATTAAATGATCAACAATATCTAATCATTAGCCAAATATCCAAAAATCAAACAAAAGCCAAATACTATCAATTCAATAAAACTAATATTTTACGAAATAGTAGAATAACAAGCACACCATCATCTAGCTAAACATAACAACAAATACCCATTAACTCTAGATAATGATGTAGTTTGACTCGATCTCAGGTCTTGAGTACAACACTACAAATCTATGCCTTTATCAAATAAGCCACTTTACCTGATAAGCTAGCAGTCAACCAGAAACAGCAATAACACAGAACTAAAATCATTAATCCAACAAATAATTAATTTCCAATTAAAACCCAGCAGAAAAAACAGAAGCTCTGAGCAAGCACAGGAACAGTCAAACAACCCCAGCACACTGACTAGCTCAGCATCACAGTGGAACACAGCCTGCAGCAGCACACAATAGACAAAACAAGAGCTAGAGAAACAGCAACTCAACCCAGTAGATAGAAAAGATAGACTCAGGGCATGAATCAAAGCTGAACATACTCCAGAACACACTCCAAATCTAGAATTCAGCAAGGAACACAAAGAAGAAATAGACAGAAAACCAGGCCAGCAAGAAAAACAAACACCAATTCTTGTAGAAATCAATTTGAGGGTAAAAGTCAATTTGAGGCATTTATATTGAAACATGCGGATTAACGAGTAGAAATCATATAACAATTGATTTAACCTACACCTGTAGTTATTAAAGAGAAAATAAAAGTTAATAATCCTGGGTTGGTATATCAGATTATCAAGGGTATATTGTTAATCATTTCATCAATGCGATATGCGAAGTATGATTTGCATCATAAATACCAAAGTTCATAGTTAATTAAAACCAACTTTGCACAGCATTAAACCTACAACAAATCAGTTATATGATTTAATGATTCTATCAAAGATTAAATTCACGAAAAATATAATTCTCTCTTGAAAGAAGAAAGTTGCCAAGATTGCAACTCCCCCATCTACCCATATGCATTTAATATAATTTTCAAACACATTTAGAAGATTAGCCTCAAGGAAGTAGCAAATAACAGTAAAATTTACTTCGTTTTCAATATCTTCAACCTCAACTTTTGCTAAATTATCGTATCCTGTGTTCTCATAAATTTTATGCAAATTGACATCTAAATTCATATTACCACAGCAAATTTCAAACAGAAAAAACAGGAGAAACAGAGTAGTTACCCATACTAATCCCAAGATAAACTCTGCAATCAATAGAACTATATAGTATCTATATGGTACCAAGTACCAACATTGATTTTAAATCTTCAAAATCCTATTTATAACGACCGAGGTGCTGCTACGGTGCTACCAGAAACTCTAAGACATAGATAAGGATATAAAATAGAAAACCTTTTTCGTGCAACATCATTACTTGAATTTTGTGATGAAGAAGCCAAACAAACACCTCCTTTTCTTCTTCCACCCAAATACTTCATTTCTAGAACTGAAATTGGAATTAATTTTTAACATCAACCCTAATATTTCTACACAAGAATAATTCTTAATTAATAGTTTCAAATTGAAATTTAAATGTTGCCAAGCATTATCAAATGTAGAATTTTATGATCAATTTTAAAAAATATTAATTTGACAGAAATATAAGATTATGATAGATTGATAATACAAAATAAGGAAAAAAAAATGCAGGAATACAGAAGAGAAGAGGAGCAAATCCAGGAAAAAAACCCAGAAACCCTAACCTCGAATTTCTGATTTTTGGTTCGAAATTGATTCGAATTTGTTGTTGTTGAAGATGCACGCACATCGAATTGATTCAAATAGACGCACCCAGAAACCTTAACCTCCAATATTGTAGAAAGAGAGAAGGAGAAGGAGATCGAAACAGAGAAGAAAGGAAAGGGAAAGTGATGGTTATGGAGAAGGAGAGAGACGGAGTGTTAGGAAAGCTCAGAAGCCCCTTCAATGGAGAAATTCGAGTACGCTACAATGGAGGAGAGAGAGAGGCAGATTAGATGAGAACGAAGAGGAAAGAGCAAGGAAATGAATTGAAGAAGAAGACGCGCCTTAAACCGGGTTTTTTTTTAAATGGCACCGGTTCAAACCGGTGCTAATTACTATAGTTGGCACCGGTTTAAGGCGAACCGGTGCCAACTCTATTGCTTTTTTTGTTTTTTTTTTTTTTTTAAGGTTGGCACCGGTTTGAACCGGTGCTAATTAAATGAGTTGGCACCAGTTTTGGTTGGAACCGGTGCCAACTCCCTATTTTCCAATCCCGCCCATTTCTTTTGGCACCGATTTTCAAGAATCGGTGCTAAAGGGGGGGTGCGTATTTGCTTTTTTCTACTAGTGACCGTCTTAGTGAATACCTTGTGAGAGAAGGGTTCAAGAACAACCAAATTAGTCCCTGTGTTTTCATAAAGTGATCACAATCAGGATTCACTATTATTGTAGTTTATGTTGATGATTTGAATATCATCGGAACCCCAAATTAACTTGAGAAAATTGCAAAATACTTGATGAAAGAATTTGAGATGAAAGACCTTGGAAAAACTAAATTTTGCCTTGGATTGAAAATCAAGCACTTAAGTCATGGTATTTTTGGCCATCAATCAAACTATACAGAAAGAGTTTTGAAAAGATTCTTCATGGACAAAGCAACTCCAATCAACTTCCCAATGGTTGTTCGTTCTTTGAGTATGAAAAACGACCCATATAGATCACGAGAAGAAAATGAAAAAATTCTAGGTCCAGAAGTACCATACTTAAGTGCAATTGGAGTCTTAATGTACTTAGCTAACAACACTTGACCAGACATAGCTTTCTCTGTGAACTTGTTAGCCAGGCACAGTAATGCACCAACATATAGGCATTGGAAGGGAGTCCGACACTTACTGCGGTACCTACGAGGGACATAAGACCTTGGTCTATATTATCAACCGAAACAAGATTCTACCCTCATTGGGTATGCCGACGCTGGATATTTATCGGATCCTCAAAACGCCAAGTCAGACAATGGGTATATGTTCACTTATGGCGGCACTGCAATATCATAGAAATCAACAAAGAAGACGTTGACTGCGACATCCTCAAATCATGTAGTGTTGATAGCCCTTTATGAAGCAGGACGAGAATGTGTATGGCTGAGGTCAATGATTAGTAATATGCAAGAAGAGTGTGGAATGAAAACAATAACTGAAAATCCAACCACTATCTTTGAAGACAATACAGCATGCATCTCTATATTAAGGGAGATAGAACAAAACATATATCCCTAAAGCTATTCTTGACACATTATCTGTAAAAGGATGGGGAAATAGATATCCAACAAATTCAGTCTTGTGACAACCTTGCCGACCTGTTCACCAAATCACTTCCTTCCAAGAAATTTGAGCGATTAGTTACAAAATTGGAATGCGACATCTTCTTGAACTATGCTGAAATCAGGGGGAGCATTATATGCACTGCACTCTTTTTCCCTTCAATCAGATTTTTATTCCAATGGGTTTTTCCTGACAAGGTTTTTAACGAGGCAGTATATCAAAGCATATAATATTTTTCTTTAAGGCAACCCATACCCCATTTTATGTGAACGTTCAAGGGGGAGTGTTGAGAAAATGCCAAAAATGAAGTTCACATGAACTTGTAACACAATAATTTGTAGCTCATCACATGAACAAATTTTGGACAATAATGTGTATAAAAGTACAATTATGTAAAATATTTTAATGGCAATATTTGCCTATAAATAAGTTCACTGTTTTGTGAACTAAAGAAGTAAGAAGAAGAAAAACAATCGGATTTCCTACTTGCTCTATTTACTCTCTTCTATCTCCATTTTCATAAAATATCCAATATCATTCTATAGTTAGAAAAACTTTCATTTTTAACAGACCTAGAGTAGTCGTAACAGTTAATTAAATTGTTCGCTACAATAACAATTATTTGTAACCAACAAATATTTGTCAGTTACAATTACATGAGTCATACTGTATATTACAATTTATTCGTATCGGATCTTTTATTTATTAGTTACAAATATACTAATTGTAAGTAAAAAAGTTTTGTTAGTTACAAATAGGGGGTTACAAATGACCGTTTTTTCTACTAGTGAGAGCTTGAATAAAGTTTGGTGATTTTTCAATTGTCATTAAATTATGATAATACAATGGCAACAATAAATTATTTATAGGATTTTTTTCCCTCTATATTACGTTTTAAAATATAATTATATATTTATGTAAATAGATAGAATATGATTTATTGTAGCTAAGATGGTAATAAGTGTAGTCTCTATTCAATGAGGTATAGTGTTTAAACCCCTTTCAAAAAAAAATTCTTATTTTCTTTGATCTATTTTATTTTCTACTCTGATTTGATTTGTCTTGTTCAACTAAATTTTGACTTTGTATGTAAACCAATATATTAGAAAATATATATATCTTAAAATGCAGCCTTTTTAGATTTGTATAAATGTGTATTCTCATAATTTTTTTTCATTATGCAATTCGAGATATCTATAATATTACTCAAAGGAATAACATGCTACCACCATGTGTCATCGTTCCTTCAATACGATTTGGCGCCACATGAGCGTTATGGGTCACCTTATGTGTCATCACTCATCACCCTAAAACTCTCTCTCTCTCTCTCTCATATATATATATATATATATATATATATATATATATATATATATATATATATATATATATATATATATATATATATATATATATATATATATTCGTATTTAATTTTCCCATACAATATAACTCCTAAATATTTGCATAATATACAATTTAATTTGTAAGACATTTTTCGTGATGGTTGTTGATTCCTTGGCTGCTAATTTTTTAGAGTCAATATCAGTTAAGCAATCATACAAAGTAATATTTACATGAATTATTATTTTATTATGTAAAGTAAAATAATAATTCATGTAAATTTTATTATGTCATCACTCATCACCCTGCACTCATTCCCTTCATGATCTTCATGCTTCAAATACCTGTCACTTTCTCTTTATTTCAACCCCTCTACTCACCATATAAATGCCCTGCTCTACCATACAAAATTGGTCATAAGCTCCTTTCTTTTCTCCCTAGCTTCCAACTCTGCCTTTTCAGCCTTTTCCTTCAACTCTAACGCTTGTAAATGCGCTGCTCTACCATAAAACTCATCCAAGTTATCAAACACTTGCCCTAATAACTTGCCTTGGAGAGAACGAGGTAATCCCCTTCTAGCCTTCTGCCCCTCAGTAGCCATAGTATCTTCAGCAAACCTAGACAGCTCGATGAACTTAGTGTAATACTCTATCACCGACAAATTCCCCATCTTAAGTTCCAGAAAATCATCAGATTTCTGCTTTTGCAAGAACATTGGGTAGAACTTATCCCTCACTTTCTCCTTGAACACATTCCATCCAAAGTTAGGTAATGCTTTTACAGTTTGCTCATTCTGCTGCCACCACAAATCTGCCCCACCCTTTAGGTAGTAGGTTGTACTACTCACTTTGAACTCATTAGGACAGGCTATTGCCACAAACAACTTATCGAATTCTCTTAGCCAGTTTTCAAGGACAGTTGGATCAGGTTCTCCTTGGTATGTAGGAGGTTTACTTTGAGCTATCTTCTTACCAGCAGGTCAGAATTGTTATTGTTATTCCTTTCAACTAAATATTGAGGTACAACAACTAGTTGCCTTACTACTTCATTCAAATCATTGTTATTGTTGTTTCTCCTTGCCATTCTAGTTCTCCTGAATAAAAGAAATGACTACTATTAGGTTGCTCACAACTCTCTTATAACTAGACAACAACCAAACTACTTTAAGTCAAGCACACAAGCAGTCATTTTGAATTATAGTTGAAGCACCTACTTATTTCTCCTACTAATAATTCAACACATTGTTTTGGTTGTCAAGCAACCATTTCACTTAAGTAAGCACATCACAAAAATATTTTGAGTCATTTCCCTTGGTACCATTAACAGAAATAAAAAGTAGAAATGACACTTGGTAGGCTTGGTTGAAGATTGAAATGAATAAGAAAAGAATAAATGATACTTTATTGCAATAATGGAAAGAAATGTTTGGAATATCCCAAATGTAGCTTTACTACTTATTACTCATATGCGACACTTTATTAAACTGCAACTATAAATAAAGAATGAAATAAATTCTCAAAACTCTAAAGAAAAGTTAGTCTAAAATCTTCAATTGTTGACATTGTCAATCGCTTGTCTTTCTTCTCATTGTACTTCCTTGGATTGTACTCAGGATCACTCCCATCATCATCATCTTCCTCAAGGTCTATTTCTTCTTCAGGTTCTTCCTCAAACTTATTAGACTCCACATCAATAATTACAGGAGGGCTTGGAGGATTTAGATTAGGAACTACTCGGCACGAGGTGTCTCCCGACTCATCATCTTGCTCCATTGGCTACCCTTGACTCTCATAAGTTTGCTCGGGTTCTAAATCAAACCTAGCATCATAGTTTTCTGAAGAATATTAAGGGGCATTTTGCTGTGGAACTGGTGAAGCATTTTGTTGAGGAACTTGGTGATAGCCAAAGTTATGATAAGGTGGAGGATAATCAGCATATTGTGGGTTAAGATAAATGAATTATTTGTGAGAAATATAACGGTATAAATATCTCCAATCCGTTCCCCACTGACCATTAGAGTCTTTATATTTGGTGTAATTAGCAACAACATTAGGCAAATGAAAATCACAAAAGCGACTCTTAATAGCTTCATAGAGAGGGTAATTAGGTAAGTAATGAACAATCATAACAGAAACATAGCTAGGTTGATCCAAGTGATACTCCTTAAACACATCACATCTATAAGAACAATAAAGGCGTATCCTGCGAATATAGTCCCAAACATGCTCATAGTCCTTCTTCACTAAAGTGCCCATATCAGTGAATCTACTAGGTAAATCAAACATCCTGGAAGATATTTTGGGTCATGACTCAATAGAGAAAATTCTTTTCAAACTCAAGTATACAGTTCTTTGCAAAAATTTAAGTTTGGTGTTCAATCATACAATTTTGTATCAATCCACAGAAACATGCTTCACTTAAATACATATCATCATACAACATGCTTAAACACCTTGCATAAATAAAATATGCACATAGAA